TTTTTTTTTTTTAAGGAATTTCTTTATAAAACCTTAAAACTTAATTCAGTTTCCAATGTATCAGAAGTTGTTATCACTGTTATGGATGCAGTGCAGGAAAACAAAAGGAGCATGAGAAATAATGCCAGCATGTTAGGGGGTTTGCATTTCTTTCCTTGCTACTCAGTATGTGGTCCTCATCCCCCAACCCCTGACCCCAGTAGCATCTGCATAATCAGGGAACCTGATAGAATTGCAGAATCTCAGTCTCCCCTCAACGGCCCCACAACAACTGTATTCTAACAAGATTTGCATGCACCTTAAAGTTAGAGAAGCACTGGGCTTCTTGGGAAGAATTAGTGTATACATCTATGATCCAATAATAGAATTTTGACTCTTCTGTAGCAGCTTTGATGGAAAATGAGACAAAAGAGAAATACACAATTCTAAATTTGCCTTCCCCTTTATTAATTAATGCCTTTCCCTTAAAACGAGCAAGTTTTTCTCCAGGGGAGGACTATTAGACTAATAGCACATTTCCTGCCTACCTCACTTCCATTTCCTGTGTTTCCTACCCAAAGAATAGTGCAATTTCTCTGGGTAGGAGAATATTTTAAATATTTTATTTGAAAGTCTTTTCTTATTTTTGAAACTAGATATCTCAGAAATAGAGTCAAACCGATCATTTTCTCCAGAGGAGAGACGTCAGCAGTATTCTGATTATGATTATCATTCCTCAAGTGAGAAGCTGAAGGAAAGGCCAAGGTAAGATGACATGCATTTTCCCTTGTACATGTCATTGTAAATATACACACATATGTATTTATGAAACTGTTATCTCTTGAGACATTAACATATGACATGTGCTTCAGTTCCAGAGAGGACACGCCGAGCAGATTGTCCAGGATGGGTGCGACACCCACTCCCTTTAAGTCTACAGGGGATATTGCAGGCACAGTTGTCCCAGAGACCAACAAGGAACCCAGATACCAAGAGGACCCACCAGGTAAGCCTTTAAGACCACTCAGTTTCAACAGTTGTGTTCAGAAGTATGTGCTCACACAGCCATAACAAAGAGTGAAATCTTGTCCTTTGCAGTCACATGGATGTAGCTGGAGGCCATTATCCTAAGCTAATTAACATGGGAACAGAAAACCACATAGCACATGTTCTCACTTTTAAATGGGAGCTAAACGTTGGGTACAAATGGACATAAAGGTGGCAATAACAGAAACTGGGGACTACTGGTGGTAAACTACTAAAGGAGGAGATGGAAAGGATTGAAAAACTATTAGGTACCATGCTCACACCTTGGTGGCAGGATCAGTTGTACCCCAAACCTCAGCATCATGCAGTATACCCATGTAACAGACCTGCACGTGCACCCCCTGAACCTAAAATAAAAGTTGAAATTATACATATATGTATACATACATGTATGTGTGTATATATGTGTATGTATACAGATATGTATGTACATGTATATGTGTATATATAAATAAGAGTGTACTTAATTCCAGAGGGTGGCTGAAAGGGAGGAGAGAAATAAAAAATTATATATGGAAGAGGCCCTCCTTTCTCTCTCTTTTGACATTGACAAAGTATAAAATAATAGCCTTGTCTAAATGCCATTAGAATTGGTCACACTTTGTCATGTTTGATGAGTTGAGGTCATTGTTTTCTCCCATCCTCGATCCTGACCTCTTCCCCCAACCCTTCCCCACCACCCTACAATTATCATCATAATTTTATATTCATAAATATTTAAGGGGAAACTATCATTATTATATGTTTTATAAGTTATTAAAAATTCTATGTTCTTGTACATGTGATTGTATACCCTGCATTTTAGAGGTTCATTTTTTATCTCTTGTATTTTGAGAAACCATTGGCACCTGCTAATGCTTCAGAGTTAAACTGCACCTTAGCAACTTCTTTTTGTTTATGATGACATATATGTGGCATAGATTTACATTTTTTTTGTGGATTTTGTGATTTTTCTATATAGAAACACACTCTTGTTAGTCCAGATTGATAACAATAGATATTTCTTAACCCACAGCTCCTCAACCAAAAGCAGCCCCAAGAACTTTTCTTCGTCCTAGTCCTGAAGATGAAGCAATATATGGGTATGTATTTCAGTCTCTCTTTGTTTTCCCTTCTTCCTTACAGCTCTTTCTCTGTAACTGAAATCCAGAAGAGTGGTTTTTTTTAGATGGTGATTTTTTTTTTTTTTTTGCCTAGATGGTGATTTTGTACATTATCAGCCACCTTTAACAAACCCCCATTAGTAGTGCTTATGAGAAAGAGGAATCATTTGTATGAACAGCAAAATGTAGAAGTGGGTGAACTTTGTGATGTTACTGTTGTCTGTTTATCTACCCATCTAGCTACCTTTCCAGAGTGTTACTCTGAATATTTGTGTTTGTCAGATAAATTCACTCCCAAATAGGTGAAGTATTCCTAAACTACGGTGCCCCATGGTGACTACACTAATGTGATGGACCCAGTGTCTGTCCGTGTCGGGGAGGGAGAAGGAGTGCTGCTGCGCTCTGCCCTTGATAATCAGAACCCCTAGTTCAGCAGGGTTCAAGGGCAGCAGCCTCCTGCATTAGGATACTGCTTCTTTGTACCCAGACTGTGTCTTTGACAAGAATGCAGTGCAAGCAGGCCTTCCTTTGGAAGAATTTTAGCCCTAACTCTGCCCTTTATTTGCTTTCTCATCTTGACTGCGTTGCCATAAAGATTCTGTAATTCTACATCTTCACCAGTAACAGGGACCTACTGATACTCATCTCATGGTCCCAAGAAAGATAAAATTGTAGGATATATGAGATATATGAGAAAAATGAAAGGGCTTTGTAAACTATAAATTACTGTATAGCTAGAAGAAATTAAATCTCTCATTTGCTAAATTTGTTCTCCCTTTTAAAAAATATCTCCCATCTTTCCTTTCTGAAACGGAACCTATTGCAGCCCTAATACCAAAATGGTAAGGTTCAAAAAGGGAGACAGCGTGGGCCTCCGGTTGGCTGGTGGCAATGATGTTGGGATATTTGTTGCTGGCATTCAAGAGGGGACCTCGGCAGAGCAGGAGGGCCTTCAAGAAGGAGACCAGATTCTGAAGGTAAGAACAGTCCAGCTCTGTTTCTAGAAGTTACTTGTAAGGGGTGTGCTTTTCTGGGTGTTCTTTCTGTAAGGGAAGAGAAAGTGGTTCAGCTGGTGAAATAGAGCAGCTGCGAGTTTGTTGATGCCCAGCGTTGAAGTCTCTGTATTCCTCAAATGGGTCCTGTCGGTCTTGGAACCCAGAACTCATCCATGTATCCGTGAGAAGTGATAGTGTTTCAGTTCTTGCCAAGATTTTATTAGTCTGATTAATGTGAAAACA